GAGCACGTAGTGGACTGGTGCGTATGCATGTTTGGAGTTTCTCTGGCTTGTCATCTTGTGTGCTTACTAGCTAATGCATGTAATTCGCGAAAACGATAGCAGCTTGAATCAGCATGAACACATGCCCGGAAAAAATTCAGATCTGAAAAGGTGTATCTGAAAAGGCAGCCTATGAGGCTTGCCATGTAATGTTGCACTGACTTTAATGAAGAGGTCCTGTTTAATGTGTTTTCGCCGCCGCTTATTCAGGATCTGGCCAATGTTTGGAAGGTCCTGTTGAATGTGTTTTGGTTTTGGGGCCCTAAAAATGAAGGAAAGATTTCATCTCTAATCTGGGGCCCGCTGGCCCGTCCAGATTTTCAAGGATTTTAAAAGGATTTTAAAAGGAAACCTTTTAAAATCCTTTTCCCGCTCAGCCGCTATAGAGATCCAGAATCCATTGAGCTACCGAATCTGGACTCTGAAGCCAGCAAGTTTTATTAAAACCGCTATTCTAAAACCTTACGAATCCAATCCGAAATCATTTCACCAAAGTGGGTAGTCCAGCAGACCCCTGGACCCTAAATAATAACCAATGTTTGGAGGCCCTCTTTAATCTGGGGCCCTCTGGCCCGTCCAGATTTTCAAGGATTTTAAAAGGATTTTACGAGGACACCTTTTAAAATCCTTTTCCCGCTCAGCCGCTATAGAGATCCAGAATCCATTGTCATCCTCATCCCATCATCCCCAGAGCCTTCAGAATCCCCTTAGAAATTGCTCACCAGGCCGTTAATCATCCTCACACGCTCATCACCAGAGCCCTCAGAATTCCTTTATAAGTTACTCACCAGGCCCTTAGTCATCCTCATACCATAATCCCTGGAGCCCTCAGATTTCCTTTATAACTTACTCACCAGGCTTATACTACCTGAGCTAGAGGCTTTGGGGGCTTATTCAGGGTCCCTAATATTATTTTTCGGACCCCCCTAATGTTAGGGGGGGAGGGGGGGGGGGGCCCCTAAGATTAAAGCGAGTCCAACACTACCGTCTTTGTCGCTAGTTCTTGCATGTAGGCTTTGTTGGGAAACAAGCTGAGCAGTAGTGGTGTAACCGGAAATGAAAAGCATTTTCATTGCGCTGAAAATCTTGTCTTGCATCAAAAACATTCGGGACAATCATGCATAGAGACCGGTAAACCTGCGAGAGCTCTTAAAAACCCTCCCAGGGCCATGAACACCAGTGAGGGTTTAACAGCAGACAAGTGCACCGCGACTGCGCCACAACCATTGCAAGAGGATTTCGTTAGATTGAAGCGATGTCGAACCCAAAAACCAAGAATCCCAAGACCATGGTCCTTGCGAGGGCTTTGCAACAGCCATGTGTTTCAGCACCGCGTTTGCATCGAGAGATAGGATTGGAGGCTGGGAGAAAGACGCCTACACTTCAAGCAAAACTTGGCCATGTGGTAGTTTCCCAAATAGGGGGTACCCCAATATAGATCCCAAAATATTTTAGTCCTTATTATTGGGACCCCCAAAACGGTACCCCTAGTTTTGGGAGACCCCCATGTCCGAAGGACGATTGTTCGGCACCTCGCAAGGAGCCGAGGGCCTGTTTCCTGGCCAATTTACCTCACCAGTTAAGGTTTAGGGTTTAGGGTCTAGGCACGCGCATCGGACTCGGGTTTAGGGTTTAGGGTCTAGTGGTGCTACCACACTCAAGACACCGCGAGTATGATGATTGCCTTCAGCATTTGTTGTTGAGAGACGAAGGACAATACAATTTATACACTTGCAGGACCTTCCAAGACATCTGGGACATGTGCCGGTCTTTGTGTTGTTTTGGCCAGGACGCGTATGAAGTTAAGAAATCTCTTTCAAGCTGCTTTGGCTTGTTCATGCTAGTGACTGCTAGTGAACGTATTGGCATGTTAACGAAGCTGCCCCAGCTGAGGTACACAAATCAAAAGGTGTATGAAGTTTATTTCGACCTTGCTGCGGGCATCTCATCTTGTATTCGGCCATCAGCAAAAAGTGCGGCATTTTGCGCACTTGCGCACTAGAATTTGGAGGGAGCTCGAAAAGAGGAATAGCTGGAATGTTTGCCCGTATCCAAAGATTGCATCTGCAATTATGTGGAACAGGGTAGAATTCAGGACCGCTTCAGCCGTCGATTGCAGCGCCCGTCCAGCTTTACAAGCATGAAGGACTTCCCAAAACGGTCAGGCCACGACCGCAAAGGCTTTGCAGTATGGGCTTCCAGGAAGTGGCGAAGTCCAGTGGAATTTGGTGCAGCTCTGACAGTAAGTGCGCTAAGTTGCAGGGGCCTGTGCAATCCTCCGGGTGATGCTTCAATCTTCTACCAGATTTGCATGGAATGCAGTGTCAGACTCTGCCGGGTTTGGTGAAATCCAAGACCGTCCAGGTTCAGCAGACAGATTTCCAGAGCATCTCAGTTGCAGGAACTTGTGGTTGTCATTGGTTCTGATTTTGTCTACATCAGGACTCAGGACCCACCCAGGCATAAGATGTCACGACCGGAAAGTCACACGTTGCCGGCATAGACATTTTAGATAACCACCAAAGGGAAGGAGCACACTTATAAAACCCAAGCATCTTCATCTAGCCAGTCCACCATCTTGACATTGCAACCAAAGGTTGCTCGCCCGGCTTCAAATTTGAAGTCGCGGGCCATACGGACCTCGAACTCACTGCCATAAGCAACAGCTGCGCTGCGCACAAGCACGAAGCAAGCCCCAAAGCGGAAAATGCAGCAAAGCGAGTGGCGAGAACGCTCTGGCGTCCGTCTCGCCGCCGAAGGCTTGTCTCCCAGTAGTTCTTCTCCCAGCCTTTTGGTGACAGCGGAAGCATCGTATTTATTCTGGAGGCGAAATTGTCCTTTCCAGATCGCCCCTACGTGGCAAACTACACGAAAGTGCCTGGCAAACGAGTTCAAGTAACAAAAAGAGGCTGCCAGGAAGCATGTGCTGGCATTCTGGGCGATGGGGTCTTCGCCCCAGTCTTCAGTGCCGAGCGCAACAAATATGAGTGACTTCTCCAGGCAGCGAAGACCTGAGTAGGCTCGTGAGCTTGTACGCACAGCCCCAACAAAAGAAGCACGTCATGCCAACTCCAGCTGCACCCCGAACTGCTTGTAAGCAAAGCAGCACTCATTTTGTATGCGCTCTCCTTCCGGGCAGTCCACGATCTGCAGAAAGATGTTGAAAGGCTGCAGCGCGGCTTGCAACGCTTTCGCAGAGCTCATCACCAAGGGCCTTTTTCGTTGGTCGTGGAGATGAAAAAATCTCGTCATCAACAAGGCTGTGAGATACTCACCTTAACAGATTTCCGCCAAGATGCCGGAATCTGCAGGAGATGAAGCCTGTCCTGGCGCAGTCAGCTAGGGCTTATGGAAATCGCCCGGCACGCACAAAGCACATTTCAAGTGGGGCGCAGTCCTTGCATGTGGATGTGGGATGTGCTTCCTGTGCCAAAGGCTGAGGCGGGCGAGTGCAGATCCATCGGGTTTTGGGTTTTGGGTTTAGGGCGGACTCAGACAACCTGTTGCAAAAATGGGGTAAGGGTTTATGTTAAACATCAGCAGATACATGCTGTCGAGGCGCGGGACCGTCTGCTTCCCTCTGATTCGCCTGCCTCGCCAGGGGCCAAACACGGCCAACGAGAGCAGGCCGACGGCCAGGCACAGCGCCCTTTGTTGCAGTCTGCGCAGGACTGGCGAAAGCAGGGCCGGAGCTAGCAAGCAATCATGCAGCGACTGCAATCTTCTTGCCCAAGGCACACCGTAGTGGATTGCACACACTTGACTGCGGCACCTACAGAGCAGCGTCACACCGGACTCAAACTCAAACACCGAGCGAAAAGAAAGCCAGGCCACTGAAGCTGTCAAGCGTGCGCACCGGCAGCCACATCCCATGCAAGAAGGGACATCCCAGACCTTGTTGCAAAACTGAACAAATGCCTAACAGGAGCCTTGGCAACACGCAAGGCCTGTGTGCAAGAAGGCATATCTTGCAAACTTAAACAGCCCCCGCCATATCCCGCTTCAAATGCTGCAAGGAGCTGGCTGTCATACACGCCGCTTCCATGATCGATGCGCAAATGCACACCTGGCAAGGCTGGCCCAGGCTCACTGCCCCTGTTCTTTGCTGTATGCACAGTTGAGCCAGGTCTTCACTTCTGCTCGCCCGTGCATGGCAAACAAAAGCAAAATGAGATGACACTGGCAATCACAATCATTGTGGGAACTTGCGTCTTCAACGCTTGCACATGTAGCAGGGAACCTTGCGACCGAAATGGCGGCCGTTAAGCATAGCGACCTCCGCTGACAAAATTCTGAATTTAAGGAATGACCCGCAACGGTAATGTTGCTGCCGACTGGGCGAAGTCAACATCACTTGTTCCGGCTACTGCAATCATCTATGCAGCCAGGTCGCGGTTAGGCAGCACAAACCAATGCCATACCAGCTCACATTGACTCGGAAAGTCACGTGGCACTCCTGGTTTGGCTGGCGTGCAGAAACCGTCCTCGACGGGCCAGCGGGACGTCACGACCGTGGCGTAGCGAATCTTCTGCAGACTTTCTTGTCTGGCTGGCGTGAGTCTGCTCACGAGGCCGGATTGCAGCTAGTTAGTTGCTCAGTGAGAGCGAAAACACAAGAAAACAAAAAAGAAAACAAATCAAAAGTAAAGCAAGATGCCCAGTTGGCACAAAAAGATCAGAAAAAAGAGCAACCGCACAGCGCGGTCGAAGGAGGCCCAACCTCCTCTTACGTGCGACCTCAGCCCCACTCCGGTTCGGGTGGTAGTGGTGGTTGGGGTAGGCCGGTCTTCGGGTCCAGAGGGTTCCTTTGGTTCCTGGTCGTTTGTCTTTCTTTCCGGAGTGTGCAAGGAGTGTCCACGCAACAGACGTGGCCCCGAAACCACTCCGCAGACTTGAAACAGTCTGACCACTGCCCTGCGGGCTGCCCCAACCTTTGTCCCTCCCCTCCGCTCCTTGCTGCAATGGAGCATGGCTTGGCGTCATCTTGGGCGAGCTCAGCACACTTTCAGTTCCCTACTTGCAATTATGCTGCCGTGCCTAGGCCTGCACAGTTCTTTTTGCTTCGCGTTTTGGAGGATGTAGGTTTGCCCACGTCTTTCTGCAGCGCACAGTTCCTTGATGTTTTGCGCTGGTTGGCGCAACGCATCTTTTTGCTTTTGGTCCTTGAGCCAGTTTCTTGCTGGAACCTAGTAAGTCGAATGGCCCGGGGCTTCAGGGGTGCCCTTCGGGCCTGCCTTGGGCACCGAGTGTGCTACTCAGAACCAGTGTCGAGCTTGGGTCGGCTCCTGAGCTTCTTTCTCCTGCCTCTGAAACGGCGCAGGAGACGTAAACGGAGACCTAACCTCCACTCGCGCCGACGCAGTCAGCTCGGGTATGGCTCCAAAGTCATTCTGGCCGCGCGCTTTGTCGGCGGAAGAAGGGTTCAGACCAAGCGTCGTAACTACCGCCTTCGGGGCCGTGCTAAGCAAGTGCGTGCCTTGTTTTGGAAAGCTCTTGGTAGAGGCTGGGATCCCTACAAGGGCAAACGAGTGGGCGAGGCAAGCAACCCGGGGCCTGCCGGGCTTCGGCGCACTCGACGAAAACGGCTGGAGAAAGCTCAGGCCGAAGCCTGGGGTTTCTCTTCCGGGCAGTTTCAGAGCTTAGTGCAAGCTGTCAGTCAAGCGGTGGTCCGGTCCCTTGCTGCTCAGTACCAGCTGCCTAGTCCTGCGCAGAGTGCTAACAGCTCCGCTCTCCCGCCGAAGAAGCCGAAAAAGAAGAAAGGCGGGCGAGAACCGCCAAGTACTGCGCCGGCTCCCCTGCCTGAGAATGCCCCTGCCCCTGGAAGCACTGCTTCCTCCCGCCGGGTCACGTGGCACCACACCCCGTCCGAGCTACAGGAGAGTAGCTGGGACTACTGGGCTGGCTGGGACGGTGCTTGGGTTGATCCTCATGATGCTCCCTGGGACCAGTGGGTCCAAGATGCGGGAGGGTGGTGGTGGCCCCCTCACTCCTCCTCGGGTGTTGGCCGCGGTGGGCATGCTTCCTGGCGGGTCGATGCTCATGAAGCTCAAGCTCATGCTCATTTTCAGACGCCGAAGACCAAGGTGCAGCAGCCCGCGTCACAGCCTAGAGTTGTTGGCATTTCTCCTGCTGAGTGGCAAGGACAGGTTTCTCTCGTGAGTTCCGAGGAAGTAGTTAGAGCCATTAAGCAAGGTGAGGCTGTCAAGGGCTCAGTCACGTGGACCGACAGTCCACACACAGTGCAGCTCCTCAAGGATCTGTTTAACTCTTTCCAGCCGGAGCGAGGTCTCACGATCTTGCTTACTGGCAGGGCCAAAGATGCGGTCGGAGCCACGCTGACTCGGCTCCGCTTGAAGAGGGTCGGTCGCGAGCCCGGCGTGGAGGACGTTGCGTTGCTCATGCTCGGCAAGTCGGCGCCTTGGAAGCTCCCCTCTGTGCAAGTCCAACAAGGCACGGTGAAGCAAAGAGAGCGTGTGGTTGTTAGGGTCGTGGTTCCCACACACTACAGGCGGGCTTTTGTGCCCTTACCAGAGGAGCAATCCGTGAAAGATTTGCTTGCCGAATTAGCCGGGCTGAGCAAAATCCGAGCATGTCACTTGACCGGGGGCACGTGGAACTGGCAGCAGATCCAGCCTTCGTCAAAGAAAGAACACAGCCAACTAGTGGGGTGGCTGAAGCTTCCCACGGAGGAGGCTCAAAAGCTCACTGAAGTTTCCGGTCAGAGGGGAATCTTCGCGTATCCTCAGAAGCGGGCCGGTGACCCCCCCAACATTTGGTGGGTTAAGAAGCTGAGTGACGAGGAGGACGAAGAGTACCTCCAGCGGGTGATGTCTCTTGCTGTTGAGAGATCCCAGAAGCCTTTCCTTCGAAAGGGTCTGGGGACTGATCTGGGTTTTGCTAGGAATGATGCTGATCCCAAGGAGGCTCGCCCTAAGCATATCCAGCTCACTAAGGTCCCAAAGGATTGGCAGGCCGAGGAGATTCGCGACCTCTTGGCCCAGCAGAGATGGACTAACATCGAAATCCACGGTAGGCGCTCTAAGCACAAGCAGGTGTTCTGGAATGCCAAGGCTCAGCCACCGGCAGAGACTGCTCACCAAGCGGCGTGGTGCTATGAATGTGATGATGAGTTCTGCGTGACGATTAATGAAAATCTGTCAAGGCCCTCTCTTCCCGTAGTCTCCTCTTTGGCCCCCGGCCCTCGGAGGAAGTGGCAAGACCGCGAGGCGCAGGAGCACGGAAAGAAGCCTGCCCCTCCAAAGAAGCCGGCCCCAAAAAAGGAGCCCGAGCGACGCGAGCGCAGTAGGTCACCGAAGCGGGACTCCGACGAAGTTGCGGACGGAGAGGTCGATCCTGTTCCCCCTCCTCAGTCGGGGCCTGGGAGCATGCAGGTTGATGGAGCGTCCCAGCAAGCCGAAGCCACTGACGATCCGGCTCTGCAGCGGGAGCCAACTTCATGCGCGGAAGCCCTTCGCGTGGGTTGGTGTGAAGTTGACCACGGCGGCAGTGGGGACTGTGGGTGGCGCGCCCTCGCGGACAACTGGGCGTGGCGTAAAGACGGCAATGCTCTCAGCGAAAAGGACAGTATCCAGCACGGCAACTGGTTCAGGACGGCCAGTGTGCGTCACATTCGCTCTCATGCCGACAAATATCGCGCAGGTATCCCCGGAGCTGATGTTTCTGAGGATGCTTGGAATGTTTTCTTGCAAGAGGGCGGCACTTCGGCCGAGCAGTTCAAGCAGAAGGCCGATGACGCGCTGGAGGCCTATCTCGAGCGCGCGGTCCGACCGGGCCATTGGATCTGCGCCCGTCTGATTCAGGCTACTGCGGACAGACTGGGCACCGCTATCTGCGTTTGGAAGATAGGCGAAGGGACCGCAGGCGATAGGCGTTTTGTCATTGCTCCGGCTTTTAGCAGAGGCTGGCCAAAAACGAACCCGAAGTCCCCCCCTCTCGTCGTCGTCCTCCGAAACAACCACTACTGTTCGTTGCGTACCCCTCCGGACGGGTCTGTTCCGTGGACGTGGCTGCGCGAGACACAGGCCCTTAGGGCAGACGACTTGCCAGGTGGTGCTAAACAGAGTGACCAAGTTTTTGTGCCTGCCTCTAAGGGGGACGCGGAGGCAGTGAGCGACGCGACTTCGGTCTCGCTGCGCACTCTGTGCCCTGAGGCTGCGCGAGCGGACAGAGCCTTGAGGTCCCACCAGGCCTTGGGGACTACAACGGCTGCGGCTAAGGCTCCTGAAAAGGCTTCTGCTCAGCAGCAGCTGTCAGTCCCGAGTGAGGCCACGCCCTCACTGCACACGATGGTGGGCCCGGACTTACTTCAGGTTCGTAAGGCCCCTAAGCGGGCCCGGCTCAGCTTTTGCACTGAGGCTTCTGTGTCCCTGCACACTCTGGCGCCGGACGCAGTGTCGCAGCCGCCTCAGCCGGTTCCTGGCTCTGCACGCGACAGCTTAGCGCAAGAGCCCGCTTTGGACAGAGAGCTTGCAGTCTCTTCGGATGCCGGCCCCTCAGCGGTCCCTGCTCGTCGGCGCCTTAAGTTCAAGCAGCACCCTTTGGGCGAAGTCGAAGACACGGGGCATGACCCTCTCACCTTTTCCGAAAAGTCTGGGCATCGCAAGAATCGGGTGTCTACGGTCAAGTGGCCATGTCCCATTTGTCATGTTGTGTTCACTTGGACGGGACATGACAAAGCCCTTAGCCAAAAACAGCGCCACATGAAGCTTGTGCACAACACGAGGCTGTCTGCGGTGGGGGGTACGAAGTCCGACAAAATGAAGAAGCAATGGCAACAGAACCCTCTGCAGTTCAAGACGGGTGCGGAGGCTACTAAAAAGGCCATGCTCAGGGCCAAGCAGCTCCAAGACCAGCAGCGCCACGACATTGCACACGCCACGTCCCTGGGGCTCTTTCCTTGTATCAAAAAGACTTGGTTCTGCCGTAGGTGTCTGGTCAAGGGCACCACTCGGCAGCTCACGGAAAAGGCTTGCGAGCCGCAAGAGTGGTGCTGGAAAAAGTCCAACTGGTGGTTGGGCCTTGCTGGGCCTCACCGGGAGGCCCTCTCCAAAGCCTGTGCCCTTACGAAGGAGCAAGTGGACGAGTACGACGAGAGAGCCACCGCTGTGGTTCAGAATGCACGAGCTTACACGGGTGATCGGTCCGAGGAGATTACCTGTAGGGCTAATGCCAAAAGGGCCCAGTGGCGCCGCGACGAAGGGTACACTGTCAGGGCGGCTTCTCTCCCAGGCAAGCTTAACGCGTCGTCGCAAATGCCTCGCTTAGTGCTTAAAACCTCCAGTCGAGGGGGCGGCATTCGCAAGAAGCCCGCTGCTGCCAAGAGTGCTGGTGTTGGCCTTGATGCCTCTGCGGCCGTGCCCGCCCGTCTTCAGGTGGGCCCTGGCTCGTGGGAGCGAGACTTGACGCAGGAGGGAGTGGAGCCTAACCCGGGGCCTCAGAAAGAGGCCAGGCGCCGCAGGAAAGCTAAGAGAATCCTTCCCACTTTGGTCGTTTGGCAGCTCAACCTTGCGTCGTTTGCCCTTAGGGGGTGGGATCTGCTGGCTGCCGCCGAAGCCAGTAAAGTGGACATTGTTGTCATGCAAGAGACTCGGATGACTTGCGACGAAGCTGCGCGACTTAACAGTAGTCTCAAAAGCTGGACTTTGTTCCATCAGCAGGAGGAGCCCCAGCAAAGGCGTGTCACCACGGAGGGTGGCGTGGCCGTTGCCGTCCGGCGAGGCATTCCCGCTGTTAAGGCCGCTTCGCACCACTGCAGTGCTGGGCAGTGGCTCCGCGTGGCCCTTCCTGGGCTCCACGTGACTTCTGCTTACAGGAGGCAACTGAGTCACGAAAACCTTCAGCCTTACAACGAGTCTTTGTGTGAGGACCTGGTGGCTTTGGGAAAAACAGCCGCCCTGACCCTCGGCGACTGGAACCATGACCCCCTCACTGATCCTCTGAATGTCCAGGCGGCTGGTGCTCGTGGTGTTGTGTGCTACCCAGCCCTCAGGACCAGTGAAGAGGAAGAGCAAGAGTCGCAGGACCCGCTTCCTGCGCCTACCAGGTGGGCATCTAACCGCTGCATTGACTGGGGGCTATGCTGTAACGTGCAGTCCTCAGTGAAAGTCCTCCCTGACAAGTGGTCGGACCATAAGCTGTTGGAGTGGGAAGTCACCGGCTTAGCCTTGTCTGGTGGGCTTGGTTATAGGCTTAGGCAGGCTTCGGACCTTCGTAAACCTGACGAAGTCTCTGACAAGCAATGGGAAGAACTTGTGGCTAGGCACTGGGCCGCTCTGGAGCCTGACCGCCAAGGCTTGGACTTGACTAACTGGCAGCAGCTCTCAACGGCCGTCGAGGAGGCCTTCCGTGCGGCCCTACGAGAGCTTGGGTCTCAGCGACGCTTCACGACAAAGAACTACAAGGGCAGAGTGGCCGTCGCCATACCCGGCTGCAGTCATCACAGGCCTTCTCCGGAGGGGGTTCCCAAGGTGCGTACCACCAGGCTGAGACGTCTTGGCAGGCGATTCGAGCAGTGGCACAAACATCCCGACCTTCAGCTGTCCGGGCATGTTCTGAGGGAAGCGGCTTTCTTTCAGTGTCCCCTTGACCCTCTTGACCCTAACACCTTGCCGGCTCTGCGCCAATGGTTGCAAGAGGAGCTCACGTGCCTCGAAACTGCCCATAGGGACCAGCGCCTGCAGGACTGGAAACGCTCAATGCAGCAGCAAGACGGTCCAGTCTGGAGGTGGTTGGCCAAAGCTAAAAAGACCGAGGTCACCAGTGGCCTAAGAAACGCTCACGGCATGGTTCTCTCCCCTGCCCAAACCATGCAGGAAGTTGAAGGCTTCTGGCGCCAGCACTGGCCCAGCAGCGAGGGTCTTGACGACAAGCATCAAGTACTTGAGACCCTGCATGCTGAAGCTGGCTTGGCAGACAATGTCTGCCACCCTGCTATGCCGCCCTTGAAAGCCGAGGACCTCAAGCGAACTCTGGCGCGCCAACGAGGGAAAGCCCCTGGCCCAGAGGGGTGGCGACCTGAGGAACTGTGGCAATGGCCAGGCCCTGCTCTCGACCTCCTCGCTGCCTTCCTCAACAAGATTGAGGACGGTAAACCCTGGCCCAGGGCCTTGCGACAATGGCGACAAATCCACCTCAACAAACCCGGCAAGGCCCCAGGAGTCCTTGAAAATCTGAGGCCAATCAGCATCGGAGCCGCAGTTTACAGACTGTGGTCCGCTACCAGAGTCCGACAGCTGGGGCCTTGGCTTCGTCGTCGGCTCCCTGACCAAGTGCATGGCGGGCTCCCGGCCAGGGGAGTCCACACGGCTCTCCTCGAGCCTCTTGCTGAGCTTGAAGTTGCCCAACGGGCGCCCCGCGGCAACCTCAGATACCTTGGTGCGTCGGACCTTAGCAAAGCTTTCGATGCCCTGCACGGTGCCTTGGCTGGTCGGTCCCTTCAGAGGCTTGGGGTGCCCAAACCTCTGTGTCGCGCTTGGCAGCAAGCATGGCATCAGCAAGAAAGGGTGCTCCAAATAGCGGGCATGTGCAGCAAGAATGCTGTTACTAAGGTGGAGTGCCTCCCTCAAGGTGACCCCGCGTCACCCGCGGCGCTCACGGCCCCGCTCGTTGAGTCCCTCAGGAGAATCTCTAAGAAGTTCTCAGGACATCAAAAGGGCCGGCAGATCCACAGGCTCTTCTTAGACGACAGAAGTTGGTTCTGCGAGAAGCGGCAAACTTGCTTGGACATAGGGCTTGAGTGGCGCCGCGAGGTCTCCCTGTGGGGTTTAGGCGAAAACAAATCCAAATCAGACTTTGGAGTGGTCGGCTCCGCCTCTGATCGTAGAAACATGCAAGCTGAGCTCAATAGACGGGAGCAGGTGGGGGAAGTGAAGCTCCGACCGCGCCTCTTGGGCTCTCGCGTGCACACGAACCGGGCGCACAGCAAGCCTCAAAACGAAGAGCGAGACCGGCTCGCGGAAGCCAAAATGATGGCTGCCTGGGGTAGTAACCTGCCCTGCGATCAGGCCCGAAAGGCCTACTTCCTCAAACAGTCTGCGGTTGCCAAGGCTGCTGCTCCTACGTACGTGAGGCTGGAGGCCCTGAGGGCTCTTGAGGGGGTTCAGTCAACTATCAACCGAGCTGTTCGCTCGTCTGGGCATGCCAGAGGAGGCTGTTTGGCTGATTTGTTTTTGGGGCATAGCGCTTCTCTCAAGTTCCGCCACGGGCATGTTGCTACGGTTCAGGTCCTGATTCAAAGTCACTTGCCTGTGTTGCGAGCCGCCTGGCATCAAAGTCGCTCCTACGGGCCTGTGGGCTTGACTAGAAGGTGGATGCAGAGGCACGGTTGGCGAGAGACCGGCGTCTTTAGCTGGACGCACCCGGCTACTCATGCTACGCTGCACTCAGGGGTAGGCAGGCACGAGGGCGGCATTCAGCTTACTGAGCAAAACAAAGGAGCCATCAATCACGCCTTGCGTGAAGCTTGGAGGGCCGGGTGCTGGCTCGCTTGGCTGGCGCAGGGCTCGAATAGGGCCAGGCCGCTGGCCGCTTTGTCCTGGCCTCAAGTGCGTGACAGGTTTAAGATGGCCGTCAGTGCCTTAAACCAGCTCCCCGGCGAGCTGAAGTCTCATGCTCAGGCAGTCCTTGTGGGACACCTGGTGTCCCCTGCGGCGTTCCAGGTCATGACCAGCCCGCAGGCTGCAATGATCCCGTGCCCCTTCTGCGGCTCTCAGGAGGCGCCGGACTTTGACCACGTTTTGTGGTCATGTGAGCATTTTAAGGACAGCAGGCCCGACTGTGGAGCGCTTGACCCTCTGCAGCGATGGCTTGTGTGGCCTTCGCAGGCTAAGCCACGAAGGGAGAATCTTCAGGTGCTTCTTCACGCAGCTGAGGTTCGCAGAGGCGTGCTACGAGCGCGCCACGACACTGACATCTAAGGATTGGTGCCAGCGGTGCGGAAAGAGCGCCTCTTCGGGGCGAACCTCTACCGCACGAACAATGACTACTACTGGCACTCCTGGTTTGATTTAGAGCTGGCACGCGCTAGAAAGCTCACTACAACGTATGAACATCCGTTGCAAAACTTCGTGGGCAGAGTTATTCTGCGTCTTCAAGGATCCCACTAATTAGATTAACCCATGCGAAGCCCAACAGCAAGTTGAAACCCCCTTTTCTCCCTGCTCCGGCAGCTCATCCAGTCATGTTTCTGTTGCTTTCTGAGCCATGTACGATTTCATTTCCAGTCATCTCCGCTTGCATTTCGGGCTTCCTTTCTAGGCCATTTCCGCATGTCCGGCCTCGTTTCCAGATTCATTTCTGGCGTCTTTCCCGGTCATTTCCCGCTTCACTGCCTGCCGTGCCTTTATTAATGGCTAGTTCATTTGGGCTTGCACTTTTGGCTTCGTTTCGGCTTGTGTTTCCCATTCATTTCTGGCCCATGTCGATTTCATGTCCGGCGTTTCCACGTTCACTTCTTTCTTCATTTTCAAATGTTCATTTCTGGCCCACGTCAGAATGCTATTCCGTTTCGTTTAGACGTCATTTCCCGTTTCATTTCCGTGTTCATCGCCGGCTGCATTTCTGGTTGTGTTTTGCGAATCTCCGGTCGGCTTCCTGCTCCCGGCTCAGTTTTTTCCTCGTTTCCGCCTGATTTCTGGTTTCCAGCTCCTTGTTTCTTCCTTTCTGGTTTGTTTCCGGTATCTGGCTAGGTTTTTTCCTTCTTTTCCGGCAGCTCATTTCGCACTGTGAGTGTCCGTCTGCAGGGCGCCGCTTTACAAATGCACAGTGATGCTGTTGAGGATTGCGCGGTGGCTGCAGGGCGTTTGGGTACCCAGAGAAGTGTTGGATTAAAGGCCGGGAACCTGCACAATGTCACAAGGATGTCTGTACGGCAGGGGAAGGACGGTAAATTAATAAAGGAAAGAAGCCTGGCTACTAAAGGGGAAACCTGTACACGATTATATACTGCGCAGGACAAGCTGAGATTGCTGTATAGGGGGTGGTGGGGTGTGCAGCGTGGCCCAGGCTGCGCAAACTCTGGGATAACATCTCACTGCCTCCAGAAAAAGCACAAAGCACGCTTCCGCAAGCAGCGCAATGCCATTCGCAAAAGCTTCAGGAGTGGGATCAGCTTTAAAGACAACCTCCATTGACATGTTTCCCGTTTCCGAAAAAGCGTCATTGCACAGGTTTGGAGCTCATTTCCGGTTGTTTGTCCTTTCTGGCTCTTTTTTTCTTCGTTTCTGATGCATTTCCGGCTCCATGCTTCGATCTTCCTTTCTGGCTCATGTACGGCTTCCTTTTTCATTCATGTCCGCTTCATTTCCATTTCTTTTCTTCCTCATGTCCAACTCATTTCCAACATGCTTTTCTTCGTTGCCTGCTCATTTCGATTTTTTTGCATCTCCGATTCATATCCGCTCCTTTTTTCCTCACATTTTGCCCATTACTGTGTTAGTTCCAGCTCGCTTCCGGTTAATTTCTGGCTTTCTTTGGCTTCAAGTCCGGCGACACGTTCTTCATTTCCGGTTCCTTTGCGACTCCTGTTTCTTCATGTCTGCTGCATTTCCTGCTTGTCGTTTTTGAATTTCCGGCTCGTTTCCTTTTCCTTATTGCTTAATTTCCGGCTTCTTTCAGGCTCTTTTTGTGTCCTTCATTTCCGGCTAATTTCCGACTTCTTTTTTTCATTTCCATTCCTGCTCGTTTCCAGCGCATTCCCGGCTCCTTTTTTCATTTCCGGCTCATTCCTGCTCATTTCCGGTTGATTTCTGGGTCCTTTCTTCCTTATTCAAATGTCCGACTCATTCTCCAGCTGCTTTTTGAGCTCATTTCCGGCATCTTTCCAGCTTCACGTTGAGATGTTCATGTCTGCCTTGCTTCCAAGACCAGTTTCATTCATTTCCGCTTTCGCTCTCTCAACTACTTTCCGATGCATGTCTGCCTCCTCTTTTCTTTATTTCTGATGCATTTTGCGGCTTATTTTCGAATTCACTCCAAGCTCATTTCTGGTGCATTTCCAGCCGCTTCTTTCTTCATGTCCTGCTCACTTTCCTCTTCATCTTTCCATTTCCAACTCATTTCCGGTTTCCGGCTCCTTGCTCTTCATTTCTTCATTACCCGTTTCCGACCGGGGGTTCCAATGTCCGCAGGCCCCATCTTTACAGAAACCTAACCATAATGCTGTTGGGAATAAAAAGTAACGGGAAAACAGGAGAAAAGGGAGAAACTCAAGCCCGAAATGCTGCATTTTGATATTGGGCCATGCTCGCTACACCTGCTTGCCAATTCACGAGACACAAGCTTGTGAACCAACAAGTATGCCAGCAGGGGTCACCATCGCACACCACAGCGGCCGGGCCGTTTGCAGCAAAGAACATGGCTGGAAGCGGAGGACAGGCTGCAAGGAAGCTACGAGGCAATCGGCTTGAATCGGCTGCAGCATCACGCCTCCCTGGTGGTGTACGAAGAGGCGTCTATCTAAAGTTGGAGCAACGACGGCAACAGCCGGGGAGCTTCATGTGCTGGCCCGAGACAAGCCTGCAGAATGTTACTCTGATCATTTTGCAGGCAAGAGACAGCAGTGCAACCACGCCGTCAGGTTTGCAGCATGCAACATAGCCTGCAGAGTTGGAGACAAATCAAGAGGCATCATGTTGCCGCAGTGCGTAATGACGAGACCTCTCAGGCCAGTCGCCACAGAAACAGACTGTAGTGACTAGCACAAACATGCAACTTCTCTACGTTCAAACACCCTGCAAAGCAGGTCCGCTACAAAACGAATAGAACAGCGACTTCATGATTATGTTACTCTCCCCCCTTTTGTTGATGCTGGCAGTGCTCGCAGTGCTCTTTTTCCTAAAAGTGTGGCGAATGGTAATCTTCATTGGAGGTGTTCTTTGAATAGGATGGCGTAATGATGGCGTTGCAATAGGATGGTGTGATGATTGTCATGGAGGGATGTTGCGCTGTGATGGAAGGTTGTCGTCAGGTATCGAATGCAGGATGGCATGAGGCGAGGTATCGGATAATATGATGGCGCGAGGTGTGACGTGCTTTTGTTTTGAAATGAACTACACACACAAAAAGCTTCCATAGTGGAATACATTTGCACAAACCCGCACAAAACTTTGACGTTTCAGCCTATGAACAATCTCACCATGTGGAAGGCAACATGTCGCCGCGAGCACTTCTTCATGGAGGAGGCATACAGAAAATTTCCATCAGGAAAGAACTTTACGGTCGCTCAATGAAAAATGACTCCAAGGCACGCTGCTAAAATGCAGAAGAGCGCACACCGACTTGCCAACCTTAGATGCTGAAGGCCCCAGCGCATGTAACACTGTTCTTGACTTCTTGGTCCTGCCTCAGCCTCAATACCATGAGCACTGCGCGAACCAGGCCGTGGGAGCAGGGGCGTTCAAAAGGAGAATTCTCATGCTTCTAGTCCAAATCTCAGCTTTCTAGCAGCGCATATAACCCTATATAAAGTTGAAGGGGCCACACCCAACCTCCGCAAGCCAATGTTTCGACCAGATTGCAGTCCCAGAAGCCACTCTTGCACAGCTCTTCAGGCGATTCCTTGGTCCTTGCCAGCGAAAGCTAGGTACTTTTCTACAGTGTCCTGCAGCAGCAGAAGGCTGCGGCGGCCTTACTACCACAGGTGAGGAAGTGTGTCAAGTGGATACGGCGGATGAGGCTTCATAGGCTTGAAAACGATGTCTTGATTGTTCTGTAATCATTATACAACGTAATGAGGCATGTGGAGGTATGTCTCAAATTATCTTACAAGTTTGAAAGGAAGAAAAGCTTCCACAGATTACTCGTTCGGCACAATTTGCCGTTGAAAGCTCGCGGCAAAGAATGGAATGCCGAGGGCGCACACAAAAAACGCAAGATCTTACACAGAAAGTCCGTGGCAGAAGGGCCAAGAAGGTGAATAAGTGGGCCTCCCCAAAGGCCTCTTTGAAGAAGGCCTCGCCAAAGCCCTAATCCACCCCGAAGGCGAAGGCCAAGGTAGGACCAAAGGCCACAACAAAGGAAGCAGGCCTCATCATGACCAATTTGAGCTGAGCCAAGGAAGGCTCCAACAGAACTGACTGATGTAGAATGCGTTTCAAACTCCAGTCCGAAGCTCATTTTGTCTGAGCCAAGGACGCCCGTCTAATTTTTCTCGGGCTGCAGTGCTCCGTATGTGCAAAAGAGTTGGCAGGTCAGTGGGGAATTTAAGATCGTACTATATCACGCAATCTAGACTGTCATGAGCTGCGGTTACATTCGGCGTGCTCCATCCCCAAGACCACACACGTGGCCCAGTGGGCGGCAAAATGGCAGCAAATAACTACTCCTCTGTTGGGGGACTTCTTTTGGAACCAGTTCCTGCAGGAGGAACCTGGATGTGATGGGAACCGCGCTACGTATGATGTATCTTAGCAACGTCCACATGGATGTTGTTGTCCATGGCGCCAATTTAAACAAAAAAGGCCACCCTAATTACGACGTCGTCACCAAGCCAACAGCCTGGTAGGCAACAAGATGACACAAAAAGATGAAGAGGGTTTATTTCAGTCGTCGTGTCGGACAGTACGGATATCATTAGATGTATCAACCCCATGTAAAGACATTCCCCTATCCGCTACTCAACACCAAACAGCAAACTCTTGCTGCAGAAAGCTGTGGCGCTCCAGAAGAGGGGCAAGGATTGAGCTTCAGCGATCCAAACACTACTTGAAATCATTGTTCTTCTAATCCATGACTGCAGTTTACAATGGTTTTGATAGTGGCAGCCACTACTTCCCAGCTGGGGAAGTAAGATCTTACTGTGCATGTTCTGGGTTTGCGCGAGCGGCTGCCAGTGTCTTGATTACCTAGTGGGCTCGCACTATGGCATGTGCAAAGCAGGCAATGCGCGTACCCATAACCCATACCTGTCAGGTTGTCA